CTATAATATGATTAAAAAGTTTTGTATGAAATACACAAAATTCCCTAAAAAATTTAAAGAAAGAATCAAACAGAAAAGATATTTATATGAAACAAAAGCATAATTTACCAATCAAGGCATTTTAACTTTTAAGTTAATGTTATTTTACTTTGTTTTTCTGAGTCACGTGTACTCTTTGATAACTAGAAATTGATCTCCCTTTTAGAAGTAGAAAGTAGAAAGTAAGAGCAGTTACCAGAGGTTAGAGAGCACCTTGGGAGGAGGATGGGGAGAGACTGGTCAACCGGTATGAAGTCACAGCTAGAGACGAGTAAGCAATCAGGTGACTGCCATTTACAACATGGCATTTGCAACATCAAGTCTATAACTGCCTAAAAACAATACTTTATATTACATTTGAAAATAGTACATTAATAATCCCCTTTTAAACTTAAGCTATTTTATTATTTTATTTTTAATTATGTGCTTATGTGTATATCTATGTGAGTATACGCACTTGAATACAAGTGCCTATGAAGTCAGAGGAGGTCGTCAGATCCCTTGGACTTGGAGGAGGTTACAGGGCCTTATGTAACATGAGCCCAAATTCATCTAGGTGCTGGGAACCAAGCTTGAGTCCTCTGCATGCAAGAGCAACACTCACTCTTAACCACTGAGCTCTCTCTCTTGTCCCTCCTCCTTTCATTTTCTAAATGACTTGTTTTGCTGGGTTAAATACTGATAAAGTTTTTAAAAGGTCACCTTTGCTAACTCAAAGTGTTTCTACTAGGATTTAAAATCTTACAGCATTGAACTTGAAAATGATTGCAGGTTATTGAGTTCCGGAGAAGAAAGATGTCATTCATGGAGAGTCAGATGGCTTCTTACCTGGGCCATTCCTAGTGTGAAGGCGAAGGGGCTAAACAAACTTAGAATCCACTCCACGGACGCGGGGAGGTACCTGTACACTGCTGTGAAGCCCACACTTCCCCAGAAGACGGTGAGAAAGAACACCATAAGCCCAGTGAGGAAAGACTTCTTTATCAAGACGCTCATTAAGAAAGCCAAGGCGATCTACAATAAGAGAAGACCCAGTTGGTTTATGTTTCTGTAATAACACAATTCATAACAGAAGGGATCGAGCATACAAAGTTACAGTTGGGATTAATTTGCATAGAGTGCACAAAATTATGTCTCACAAGTTGTATATTACAAACACCCTGAAATGCGCCTGTCTGGAGAGACTTGCAGGCAAGCAGCAGATAGAAAACAGCTGTGTAGAATAATGCTTCATGGAAAACCAACCTTTGATTCTTAGTGTAAGAGATGGGTGGGGGGAAATTTAGAACAACTCACCATAGACAAGCCATAAAAGAGGAAGAGGGTGAAGACCACGGCGAAGCTGCTCAGAACAAAAAACTGAACAGATTTTATAACAAGGGCCAAAAACAGGGCCATGATGAAGACGAAGCCCGCGTAGAGCAGTCCCCAGGAGAGCCTGGTGCAGAAACAAAATACTCTTAGTATTTCATGTTCTGTTACAAAGAGGATCGATGGTCAGTTTTAGCATAGCCTTTTTATTCATCCATTTTTTTCGTTCATTCATTCATGCTCTCCCCTTTGAATGTTTCCTTCCTTCCTTCATCCACGCTGTCATTCAGAAGATACTGAGCGGTGTCTGATATGCAAATACAAGGTAAGAGTTCTAGGCTGACTCCATTATGGACAAAAGATATTTTTTTCCTCACTTTTACCCACTGAGCCATCTCCCAAATCCAATAATCCTATTTTTTTTTTTGTCTCAAAATAATCTAGTTTCTGGTCTTCATCAATTGCTTTGCTGTACAATGTTCCGTAAAATGCACAGCCAGATAAACACACATAGAGGTAAATGCGCGTGCACATGTGCTTACACACACCATGGTGATGGAACGGAAAAGCTAGGCTTCTAGTCGGATTGATTTAGGTGGAAATGTTTCCTCTGCGATATTATTAGCCCCAGCCTAAGCACGTTCTGACCCCTCCCGCCTTCTTTATTCCTCTGCACAGCAGGAATGACGCCATGGTGGAAGCTCACTAAGGTGAATACACACAGGGCACTGTCTCAGTGACCCTCAGATTCTTTCCTCCCTGGAGGCTGCCCAGGGTGAGAAACTTCGTGAGTTTCCTTGGAAATAGGAAATTCTTCCCTGTATGTAAAACAGGAAACCATGAGGAGGCGGGAGGGAGTCTGAAGGGAAGTGACGGGAACAAAATGTTGAATATTTCTTCTCATATGTGGAGCTTAGGTTTACATAGATATACTCACATATGTATATGTGTTTGTGTACACACACACGCATGAGTGCGACATGAAAGCAGATGGGGGCTGTTTGAGGGAAGAAGAGGGACCAACAATAATGAAGGGATGAGGGACAGGGAAGGGTGGTGCGTGGTCAAAGTACAGTGACAGACATGCATGAAAGTGTCACAGGAAAACCATTATTTTAAATGCCAACTGAAAAAAAGTTTATTTTAAAAAGTATACTAGTTTTAAAAGCAAGCCAATTTTTTTTTTTTCTCTCTTGTATGGAAGTCTGTCTCTTCTTTTCCCAAAAAGGTGTCTTCGTGTTTCTGGATGGGAATATCAAGTAATCTGTATACTTGCCCTTAACACTGTTCATGTTCCATGAAGACAGAAGCTAAAACCCAATATCACTTCTGTGTGAGTGTGCTTGTGCGCACGCACTCCTGTGAATTCCAACATGTGTGTAGACATCCATCAGAGGACACTGGATGTTGGTCCCCTCCGTCCACCCTATTTGAGATAGGGTACCATCGTTGTTTTTTTTCCACTAGCTGATCTGTGAGCTCCCTGTCTCCACTTCCCATCGGGCATAGGAGCTCTGGGATTACAGACGAGTGTGCTACGTGTCTGTTTTTTCTCTGGATTTGAACTCAGGTCCTCACACTTGTAGCAAGTGCTTTTACCCATGGAGCCATCTCCCAAGTCCAATAATCCTATGTCTGTTGTCTTAAAATAGTCTACTTTCCTTTGCTAATCAATTTCTTTGTTGTGCAATGTTCTATACAATGTAGAGTAAAAAAATGATAATTAAGAATAATTTTAAAATTGCTGCAAAACAATAACTAATATATCTGTAATTAACATGGGCTAGGCAGTGTTTTTAAAACTTAGCAAATGTTAAACCATAGGCGTCCCAGAAACATTTTCTATTTCCCTTGTCTTATTGACAGAAACAGTGAACCGAGGTGTTAAGTAGTTTAAAGTCCAGGGGTTTGGCTCTGGCATCTTTAGATTTCACGGCTTAGCTATATTTTCCCCCAGTATTAATTCAATAATGAACTCAAGGCTGGTTTTAGGATTTTAAAGTAGAAAGGAACTTTTCCCGACAACAATGTGTTCACACGCACTCTCCATCTGGCTCTCTACCCACTCTATTTTACTACCTTCTCTATGTCACCTTCATGTCCATGAACTTCCAAGAATTTTTCCATTCTTAGAATTACTTAACCTTTATTTTAAGACCAAACTATATGTGCCCTGTTCACAATCCCACTCTGCCAGTCCATCCTCTCAGACACACCCACTGTGTTCTTCAGTCCTAAAGAATTTTCTGATGCTTGGGGCCTTTTATGCTACTTCTCCTGCCCTAGAGAGAACT